AGCACCTTTTCTAGACTTCGCGTATCTTCAAGTAGTGGAACAATTTCAGGTTAAATACCTGTGTATATTGTTATTCATTTTGAAGTCATCATATCCTATACTATAGAGTGAGTTTGACATTTTACGACAGGAAACCGTAGCGATTATAGAGGCAGCAGAAAAACGGAAGAAACAGGCGTCAGTTTATACGAATTTTTACTTTGCACGTTTTAGCACCCAATTTTTTCCTGAACTGCTATAGCGAATTCTTCACAGCGGTATAAAAACTTCCTTTCACCTAGATTCATCGATACAAATCACCCAGGGGGAATCCAGGAATAAGTACAATACAGTATATGTGAAATAAGAACACTCGTCATTGGGTGGAAAAAGTACTTATTTTTTCACATCTTCCGATATACTTATTGAAAAGTGGTTTAAATTGTATTTATGCACGTAAGAAAAATTGGAGACAAATTCAGATATATGAGCAATTTTTTATTTTGAAAATGTCATGATCGTATATGAAGGTCAAGGTGAGGATTGCATTACAATAATATTTGAGCAGAAATATGTGCCAAGCATCCATATATCACAATTAAAAAAAGCAACATTCTTGGATTAGGAAAATGCAAATACAGTACATGTTTTCGAACTATTTCGGATGGACTTGACTGGAATGCTTGGTTACTCAAAAACTTCCTCGGTTCGTATACATGAGCTCAAATTGTTATTATTATCAGTTTCGATAAATTGATTCACAAAAAGCTTAAAACGGTAGTTGGTAATACGTTTAGAAGATTTCCAAAAGCGGTGGAGTCGAGTTGATTGCTGACGTATTGCTATAGGAAAAGAAAATGTGCTTAATTTTTACTGTATTTTAAGAATTATAGTAAGGTCTTGAGCAACGAACCTAATCATCCATACCAGTGATTTGTTTGTTTCTCAACGCTTTCTGCATTTAAGGCGACATTTTCAACAGTAACGGAGGGGAAATTTTTTGATAGGTTCCAAAGTTAAAAAAAATTAAAGTCCAAAGCTAGGAAATGAGCATGACACATTGAAATACAGACAAGAATACGGTACGAAGAAAACTTTGTTAACTATAGTACGTTTTAAGGCGAGATTATTGAAAGCATGAAACATTAGAATCATGAAAAGAAAATTCAAGTAGTCTTTTGAGTTTATATAATTTCCCTTGCTTGCATTACATTTTGATTCAGATTTATTATCCCCATTCGGGGAAAAATTTGCCAGAAAAGCGTAAAATATTCTCCATATCTAGAATATTTTGAAGATTTTTTTCTTCTTCATGTTTTCGCAGTTTTTCGTCGGAGGAAAAATGGGGACTGAACCCGACTGTGATGTTCGTCGTTCAGGGTGTTCTCTGCTCGATGAGGACCCACGGAATGCTGGCAAAAATGTATGAACCATGTCTAGAGTTTTCTTCTAAACCATAATTAACCCACACGCTAATGAGTGTATTTGTTGTGTTCGTAACTTCAATGAACCCACCGTTATGCTTGAAGACTTTTATCGTTGCCCCGGACAATTTGCAGCCGAGAATCAGCGAGGAGTGATTGTGTTCATCGGAAATGATGAGGGTTCTGTCATCAGCAAGGGCCGGCAGGTGCATGGAGTTGGTGGCGAATCCCATGGGACACAATATGGCGTCTTCTTTGCCCACAAACTTGGCGACCATCTTCTCGAGAACTCGGTGAAGTTGCCAAGTTCCTGTGCGTGTACAAGGAAGACAAAAGATAAGTGAAACCCCGAGATGCGGACGTCATTGGTGCTTGGACCTTGTCCCGATGTCGGAATGTCCGCATGTTGGATTTTGTTTTCTCGTAGACTTCTATGGGAACTGATTAATTATTGTACTGTAATTGCCTTTCTGTTCATTCATTCATTCATATCATGTAATTGGTTCTACTGTTAATAAAAAATCAGGAATAAATCCCCCAAAAATCAAATATACAGAATGCAACCGTGGGAAGAAAACCACAGAGAATCTGATCTGTACTGGCATCAAAAAGGACCCCAAAAAGCAAACAAAAACAGCAGTTCTTGATATTCTGTAGTGAGACCCCTGCATGCGGACGCCTCAACCTGTGGACAATTCAACATAGGGACACTTATTTTCCCAGAAAAAATTAATAAAAATGGCCTGACATGAGGACACTGACTTGACATGGGGACATTTTGTTATAAAATTGCAAATACGTTTCCAGCCTGATTACAAGAAACATATATTTCCAACCCTGAAATTGATGTAAGAAAAGTTCTTGGGCATTTCTCTCACCAAATTAGCATCCATTGAGCGAATTTTAAAGAAAGACCTCCAGCATATAGAGGGAATTTTACTTTTTTTTCACTTGAATGTTATTTTTGTAGATGCCAACATTTCAGTGTACATAGTACAGAGATACACTATTCAATGCTTCAAACGTTCTTATTGAGTTGAAAATGTATTCACTAATTCAAATTCAAGTGGCAAACAATTTTTTCAGGGAATNGAAAATGTATTCACTAATTCAAATTCAAGTGGCAAACAATTTTTTCAGGGAATTCTGAAGAATATTTCTTCCACAAAACACCAATTAAAAATTATATAATGTAAGTCTATGGGAAAACAAGACTTGACTTATTGACATTTTAACTTGGGGACACTCTTGGTGTACCAATCATGTCCACATCTCAGGGTCTTACTGTATATGCAGGGATGATGCTGGAAAATGCTCCAAAAGAGCACATAATTTACTTATTTTTTATTATAAATTTCAGTAAATATATTATGAAATTCATTTTTAACTTCTTTCAAAATAAATCTTTGCTCAATCTGTTTAAGAGATATCCCAATTTTAAAAATTAAAAATTCTCAAATTTCTGGAAATGTGAAAGTGTCCATACATGCCAAGATTTTGTCCGGATGATGGGTCAGATTTTTTTAAATTTTCATGTGTCCCCAAGTTGAATTGTCCATATGTTAGGGTGTCCTTATTTTGGGGTCTCACTATATTCCCCAGATTTCAGTATACCGCAAGTTTTAGTCTTCAAGGATGAAAAAATAACGTCAATTATTGGAGTAGTAGTATACATGTCATTTCCCCCCTCATGATAGGTTTAAACAATTGTTGCCAAGACAATAACACGCATTATTTTAAGCTTTCTGATTTCAATTCCACTAAAATACTGTCTCACCAAGTTCCCTGGAATTGCTTCCGAAAGTGAGACCGTTTCGTTTTATAGGTTTAAACAATTGTTGCCAAGACAATAACACGCATTATTTTAAGCTTTCTGATTTCAATTCCACTAAAATACTGTCTCACCAAGTTCCCTGGAATTGCTTCCGAAAGTGAGACCGTTTCGTTTGATGGTGTCTTTTACTGCATCTGGGATCGGACCCGTGTTAGTGGAGAAACCCAAGTAGTTGTACGATGCCATATTGATGGAAAGACCGTCTGGCAATTTTTCTCTGCAGAAAAATGGCGAGTCAGTTTTACAGTCGCATCGCGCGTAAAAAATAAAATAAAATTCCGTAGTCTGTACTTTGATGTACGCTGCAGCGTTAAATCACAAGATTTCGTTGAAAAACCCAAAATGGATAAACTACCCACTAAAAAGATTGATTTGAAAACGCTTCAGAGATTTCACAACTTATAGGCCTATAACAAAAATGATACACGTCTTTCCGAAGCTCCTTAAAAAAATTCGCTACATTAAATTTAGCCATTTGTGACAAATTTCCGAAGATAATTCACGGAAATTGAATGAATATCTGGGACTTTTGATCCATGAAAATCATAAGCGACATCGTGATTAAGCCGCATAATTTATAAAAATTTCAAGTTCCCGTTATTTTGAAAATAAATATACTGCACTGTATTCTATGCATAGAAAAAATGATTTTCATTCCCGACTGTGCGTCGTTAAATACGGTACTTCAGAAGAAATAATGAAGAGGCCGCTGGAAGATGGGCATTTTGAAAACTATTACGCACGGAAATAATTTTGCCATTTCTACCAGTCATAAAAAACATCGGGAATACTACATACAGTATATAGCATATACAAACGTGAAATCTTTTCATATTTCAGGGTTGTGTTTTTTGAAATTCAAGTAGCTATGCATAGTAAAATTCCGTTACGACGAATTTCGTTATAACGAATTTTGCATGGTAGAAAAAAAAATCGTTTTGCTGCAAATTTTGTTCTTTAGCCCCGGCATTTTCTTCATGGGGACAGCAAGGATACAAAAATTCGTCATAACAACCTGCAGTATTTCCTTCTATATTCTTTGAATAACAAATTGCTGCATTGATCGTGTTTGCATGGGCCACAGCGATTTTTACTAATTGGCACAAGACGGGAAAACCAAACTTGCGCATAATTGGGAAAATTTTAAAAACTGCAAACGCTAATCTTTTTGTACAAAAAGTTTAGCATTGCAGAATAAGGTATGCAAATGTAATGCAAATTTATTGAACTTTTTTTTAAAATTTAGAAATGGCCAATTTTTCAAAAGAAAAGTATGTTTGAAAGGATATTACTGTTCTATTTCACGGAAAATACACCCCTTCATGAATAAATGCTATTCTTACACATGTGTTTTCTGTTTCATTTAGGTCATAATACTTGGTTTGGATTGGGATAATTTTTACAAAATTTATGGAAGGGCAGGTCAGAAAAAATAATTGTATTAAACACTTTGAATTTTTTCGACTATTTCATCAAAAGCAGTTGAAATTCCGGCAATTCTTCAACGATCAGCTGTTGTGGAAATACAGCAAATCAATTGTTACCTGTTTCTCACAAAATTCTGTTCTATATTCTCAAATAAGAACAATGAATTTCATTATAACGGATTTTTCCTCATAACAGTTTTTCTCCCAGGTCCATGGGAGTTCTTGTAAAGAGATTTTACTGTGTAGTATCATCTGAACATAGATTGTATTAATGCATATATACGGTATATACTTACACATGATCAGAAAATGGGTTCTGCGGCCGATGAATGACACGGAAAGTGTCGGCTGGCAGAGTGTTGATTGGCCTGGCAAAAAGATCGCTAATCCTGTTGAAGAGGGTGAATTGGAACAGCCTCGTGTGGTGATCTCTGATTGGGGCATAACCCTGTAGGAAAGAATTTCCAAACATTGCAAAAATCACCCTAACTAAAATCTGTCAAAGCATATACAGTATTATAAATCTCTCCACAGAAAATAAAATCCCTGGTTTCAATTTGCTAAATTTGAGAGAAAAAGAAGTAAAGTAGAACCTTGATAACCCAAGCCTCCCTCTAAGTTGAACCCAGATGGTACCTTACAATTCAACCTTCTGCAATTTGATGATCAAATTTGCAGGAAGGCTGACTCGCAATTCAACTCTTGCCTTGCAATTAAACCTACTTCAGCCACTTTTTTTTGCGTTTTTAAGTGTATATTTGAAAATGTCATGGACTGTCTTGCAATTTGATCAATTTGCAATTCAACCCTAGTCTGGCAACATATTAGGGTCAAATTACGAGGTACCACCTGTACCCTCCTGTGCCAAAAATTTTTTCAAGTTCCCATCTGAAAAAAAATTCCCTAACTCAAAGGTTTTTCCCCTCAAACCTCCCAAACTTGAAATTTCTGAGGCCTTAGGCTATTATTTTCTCGATACAGGAAAGAGTAAATCAGAAAATTAACTTGATTGGCTTTTCGAAAGGAAGTTAAAGATAAATTGAACAAATGAAATTTGCCTCTAATTTCAGCATCTTGGCAACTCATTCAAGAACAACTTTATGGCCCAGAATATAAAAATTTAAAATTTCCTGAAAATATTATATGTTTTCCCGCAAGAAAAAATGCTTGTTTGACTATAACTCAAAACCTCTTCGAGTTAATTTTTTTTGCTGGTCCCTTGGAATTTGACTTGGAAAGGTTACTTGTTTTTTTTTTGAGGAGGAAAAAATCCCCACTTTGAATTTAATAAATGTGAGAGAAACATAATTAGTACCTCTTTTTCTTTCGGATCGATCTCGGGAAGCTTGACCCACTTGGGCGAGACGACTCCTAATTTGGACAAGGCGTAAACGACGTTGAACACGACCTTAGCGTAAATAATCAGCAGTACCGGAATGTAATCGAAAATCAGGAATCCGTAAGAACGTCTGGACGACAGCTTTTCCGTGCCAGGCTTAGTTGTCTTATTGTTGGTCGGATTATTTCCCGAGTTAGACTTGCTTTGGAGCTTCGAGTGACGAGCCATTGATGAGGAATGCTTCAGCGTCGCCAAGCCTGGATGCTTGTTGGATAACAGCTCCATTGTTTCGCTCCAGCTGAGTTCAGTGGTAGTGGTTGTCTGGGTCATCTTGTTCCTGCAATTAAGGCCTGAGTTGAGTTTTCGTTAGTGGAGAATGTAGACTAGAGGTGACTGCCATAATTTAGTAAGCTTCCCCCAACCTTTTTGGGCCTTGCCCTGGCAAAAAAAAAAACTCTGCAGACCAGCAAAGTAATAAAACTTTTGCCTACTCCAAAAATATTTTTGGGAGACTTTATGGCAGGTATCTGAAAAGTTTCTGTTTTTTTTGTGCAAAAACAAAGTTAGGAACCAATTAAACAGTGTATATTGTGGAATGTCTTCAAAATTTTAGAAAGGTGGGCTTGAAGAAAGGTTTCTCAGAATGAAAGATTTAAATAATTCATTTCAGCAGTTGACAATTTGTCTTGAGTGTTATTTCAAGAAGAGCCAACTTTAATTTTTCATCATATAACTTAGACTGCCATTGTCTTTCTGAAATTTCAGATAAAGATCACAGACTTCATTGCTACTTTTTATATACTTATTATGCTGAAGGAAATTTCCCCCAAACCGGCAAACAACTTTTGAAGACTTGCCCTGGTCTGTGGACCGCAGGTTAGGAAACCCTGCGTTATTAGGTTAGGCTCAACTGCGATCAAAAAGACACTGTGATTCCTAAAAACAAATATTACATTATTTACTGGAGTACCGAATGCCTTCGAGTAAAACACACTTACATTTTTTTATTTTTCAGCCCAAAATTTGGTTAATGTATTCCTGAGGAAGAAGTGCACCCTATTTTTATGGATGGAAAATTGCAATAAATTGCTCGTTATAACAAAATAATGGTTGAAATAACTAGTTTTCGATCCAATGCCAATAACCACATTGTTGTAGTTGTGTTTTAATGTATTCTCATTCACACTATTGCTTTTTTTACGCCCAAAATTAAGGCATTGTTGTACTATATTTTTTTATTTTTCTGCCCGTTGAAAATAAAATACATAAAACATTTTGAGTTGAATCTTAGTCATTTCAAATTTTAATTTTCGATTGTCTTCATTCGTTTGGGATTGTCTCTTGAAATATGTTAAAAATTGGCTAAACGTCATTCTGAAGAGATGCGTTTAATTAAAAAAAAAGTACAAAATCGGGTTCCCACTGTCGCCAACTCTCCCTTGCAAATAAATTGAGCACCTCAGTATAGAATTGATATTTAATGTACACCAGCCCGCCAATAGTAAAATGGATCCAATTGATTTTCGATTGTGATATGATCTGAAATTACAAACGATCAGTCAAACGATTGAGTCTAATTTTATTTCTGGAATGGCCTTTATTTATGGGGGAAACAGAAAAGCAAGCTCAGTTGCACACTTCAAAAAAATACTTCTAAAAATTAGATGTGACATGAGTTCTTAAAATTCGTGGATCACGTTGAAAATCTTCACAGCTTCTAGAAATCTAGAACACACAAATGATTTTGTAATTTTCTCAAAATGTCACGCTCTCAAGCGATTATATGCTATTAAAATTAATCTTATCCAGATATTTACATATTTTGAATGCTGTGAAACGTAAAAAGCGTTTCAGAAAAGGTCGATTTTAAAAATTCAAGAATTTTTCAAGCGAAACTTTTGCATACAAGCGAATATTAAGGGAAGGAAAAAACCTTTCTTGCGACACGGATAGTTTATTTTAAAATTATATATAGTACTTTTACAACGATGAGTTGAGAATTTAAAAAAAATTCCTCGAGAATTGAATCGTCGAATAATTTCTATCACAGCATTGTCAACGCGGAAAAAGTAGCTGATGAATTTAGATTGTGTAAAATAAATACCTGCTTGTGAAAGAAAAAGGCGTGTTGAAAATTCGAGAAACTCTTCAAGAACGAAAGTATAGAAGACCTTTCGACTTCGACGTCGTTCAGGGACAAACGCTGGCGAGAATCTGCGGATGTGCAAATGTGAGTTGGTCTTCTAGGATGAGAAAGCAGAAACATTTTTTTCCCTCTGTTATGCAAGGCATATACGTAGCTGTTTGCGTGTTCTTGGACGCGTATACGTGACAAGCAGGATTTGACATTATTCCGCAAATTTTAGTTTCCCTGGAAAGAGCCAGGGACACAGCCAACATTCGCAATTTTTCCAAAAATTTCGAATTGCAGCGTCATGAAAGGTTTTTTTTGCATGCTTTTATCAACGCACGCCCTTCATGCGCATATATACGGCTGGAACATGATTTGCAGAAGTGCCTTTTTTCCAGGCCCTCGAAAGAGTTCACGGAATAAAAAGCAAAAACAAAAACGAACCAGTTTCGACCCTGGCCATAAACCCAGGAAAAAGAACCCACACGAAGGATGCAAAATCATGAATGTTACATAAGTACAGAAAATAAATATTCAATTCTTTTTCTTGTACTGTATTGAGTAAGTACAGAATTCCCGACACCTTTTTCTGATTTGTTCACGTCCAACAGTCTGTATTAGCGGAGGTTAGCATTTTTGCTTAACTCTGTATTTTATTTCAGAATGGAATATAATGGGTTTTTTCAGAATTGAAGAGTCGCAACTTTAAATATTTTTTTCTAAGTCACGTTTCAGCAAGCTTGCATTCTAAGTTGAATTGCACCAAGTGGAAAGAGTCCTTTTTTGTGATACTCGAAGTTTTATTTGCAGTAAATGTTTTATCTTTCAACATGCTTTGAAGCTGATGTTTGGTTTGTGTATGCTCTAGTGAACAAATTATGGGTGAAACGAATGGATTTTATGACAAAATGCATCATGAGTTTGCGTCTCATTCGCATACGTCTTCTACTTAAAGAAACCTAGATTTTATGTTATTCAGTGATTGTTTTTTTGTCTTCTGAGTTGGATTGTTTTTATTTGTTGCTTTCATTGCCAGCCATTTTTGTGAAAAAAGATAAGTCTCTCATCCAGAATAGTATGGAGCACTTGTACTTTTTTAAGCATTGAACAAACAAATTCTCGGCATAATTCTCTTCGAAAAGCCTATATTCCTGCTGGTCAATAAACCACTATAATGCTTTTTTGCATGCAGTTAGTACCTCTGAATTTGACTGCTGTGTTTTTGGTTTCACATATTTGGAGGCGAATTTAGCAATAATATGGAACCCTGACATGCACAGATGCCCAAACATTCGGACAATTTGACCTAGGTGGAAATGTGAAATGCCAAAAATTTACCTTGTCATGTGAAAAACGTCTGGAGACACTGAAACTTTGGCAAAAGTTTCAGAAAATTGAATTTTTTAAAAATTTGGATATATCTTGAAAAAATTGAGTCATGTTATGTTCAAAAAATTGGAAAGTGAATTTTTATTGCAACTCAAATTCATAATCAAAATAAGCTACGACAGTAATTTTGTGACCCTGCTTATTTTGGAGTTTATTCCCCATCATCTGTGCACAGCATGGCAAGATTATTTCTCTACTTCTTCTGCTCCCTTTGATGGCAAAGGATGAGCTTTTGCATTTTTTCTTCTGCACAGTTATTTTCTGCATCTTTAAGCTGCTTGAATTTTTCATTCAATCTTTTGCAGGACTTACGGTATTCCAAACTTTTGATAACCTGGTGAAACAAGTGAATAAGTTCCCTTTTGAAACTATGGGTGAATGTGATCTGACTTGCGGACACTCCAACACATAGGGACAAGATCGAATCACCAATTACATCCTCATCTCAGGTCCCCACTGCTGTACAAGTGCAATATATACATGAATCTGAAATCCTCAAGCGGTTTTGCATCAAAATCTGTCAAAACTTGGCTGGAATAATAAGGGAAACTGGAACAACGACCGAGAATTCCCCTCTGATCAGAATCTCGGCGGAAGTCGAAAGAAAATTATATGCCTCTGGGTTTCTTTGGAAATCAAGTTGAGATGTGGCCGGCAGGGCCAGGATAATGCTTTCTGTTACACCTGGTTGCCGGTTTGTGCGATGATTAGGCCAAAACTCGTCCTTCTCGGCACCGGTTTTCGCATTATTTGCGACTCCATCGCCCCGGTAATTGCCCCGTTCCCGGCCCAAACAAGGAGCAAAGAGAGGGAAAAAGAAATTCCGGTATTCAAGTGGTGGCTGGACTTGAATGGAAATCCGCTGCTGTTCAGAACTACAGTACAGTAGAGGAGTGTATAGGGAGGAGAATGCCATCATGACTGATGCCTTGCCCGTGTTTCGCACTGGTTTCCCAAAAAAAATGGCTCTCGAAATGTCCTCACAGATCCAGCTCAAAGAACCACCTTAATTGCGGACGATTTTAAACTCCATATGAAACATGCATCCACATGCAAGAAAAATTGAAGGGCTGAGGCAATTATCCCGCAGCCTCCAACCAATTTTAATTTCAAAAACAGATTCTAAATTCATGGCTTGAAGAATGAAGAATCTGAGCTTAAAATAAAAATTGCTGGAGAGACAGTGTAATTGTCTCAGCACTCAGATGTTTCCTGCATGTGAATGCAGTTTTTCAAGCAGTTCAAAATCTGCGGCAGGTGCACGTAAGACATTTCTTGTCTGAATGTGGTACAGTGGGACCTTGAGCAACAAATGCCCCAAGGAACGAACAACTTACTTGAGCCATATGGAGCAAAGTTGGGTTAATTTCGCAAATTTTGTCCCCATGAGTACTGCAACAATTTTTGTTGTTGAACTGAGGCCCAAGTTTGGAAAATATCCAACATTTGTGCTTAATTTGTGCCATTATATGTTCCAAAAATATTTTTGTAATTAATGTGTTTTTTTAACCCTTGGGCAACATTGGGTTATTTTGCATTGTGCGGCAGTGCCAGGATTTTTTTGCAGGCTTCTGCATTTAAGTTTAACCAAAGGTCACCAAAATGCAGCTTTGGCTGATTATAACCAAAGTCAGGAAAAATCCCACAAAAATAAAGCCATTGTTCTGATAATCCCTCCTTGCTAATTCAATGATAGGAATGCAGAAAAATTTTCACCCAATACAGTATTTATTAACTTTTTCCAAAAATTTCCTGCAGGAATATGCTAAAAAAATTTGAGATTTTTCCAACTTTGGGTCTCCTAATTACAGTATTTCTGTTTCCCCCTTTTTATACTCCTTTATTGTGGCACAAAGTTTTGCAGATAAATCCCAGCACTGCTGTCCAAGGGTTAATAAGAGCAGTCAAGATCCACCTCAACATCACCCACAAAAACTCTCATTCTCTTATGAAACGCCTGTATTATAATACAGGCACACAGTAGTATTCTCAAAGAATGAAAAAGCACTTTTTGTCGCATTCCTCGCATAACCCGCCAACTTGGCGGCCTTCTAACCCATGGTCACAGAACTCAGCTTTTCGCACGCCGCTCCGTTGGAATTCAATTGACTGCTTGCATACGGGTTTATCCAGCTGAGATTGGGAAGGAAAAGAAAATTGTACGAGGGGATCAACAGAAAAATCACCACAAGAGCTCCGGAATATTAAGTCAGAATACGGTTCATAAATAAAAATCCCCTCTATTTTTAGTATCGTCCAGAAGGTGTTCCTGAATCCATCACGTGCGATGAGAGGAAGAAAGTGATTCGGAAAGACGGCGATAAAATTCGCCACAACAAATAAAAATATTTCCATTGATGTGAAACGAATTTTCGCTTTGTTCCGTCAGGGAAATTCAGTTGAATCGCCCGAAGACGGAATAAAGAGCCACCATTAAAAACTTTTAATGCTTGAATACACGAGCTTTTGCGACCAAAACAAGTGCTGGTTATTGACTTCTGCTGCGAGATTTAAAACCCGCGTGTGTTCTAACCTTCTAACATCATTTATGGAAGGAGCAAAAGCAAATGTTTGCTTTTTACTGATGCTGCTATTTACAGCAGCTCGGAGCATGTTCTTGAAATTTTCCCGTCAAGTTTAAGAGTTACAGTATTTGTTTATATGCTATAAAATTTGAAAATCAGTTGAAAATCATCAAATTGTCTTCGTCGGGAGGAGCCACTTCAGGGTGACTAACGTTTGGACAAGAATTACGCAATCAAATTGAAAATTCACACTTGTAAAATGTTTCTATGATAAATTTTGTGCAAAGCGCAATCCTTTTCATCGTTTTTTTTTTCAATGCGGCATTCAAGTTAAAGTTGATAAATTAGTTTTCGTCATTATTGGTGCATTGAAACCCTTTTTAAATATACGTGTCGAAATTTTCCATCATAATTTACTGCCGCTTTCACTTTGCACCATATATGTTTTGAATATTATTTAAACACTTTAAGCTTTCTTCAAAATCGAAACCGATGTCAATTTTTTAAAGTTTCAGATTTATTTACAAGTCTCTGGACTGCCAAAGAATTTATTTTACGTCTTCGACCAAAATCGAAGAAAAAGGGAAATTATTTTCCTCCTTCCAATGACCGTGTCTGCTCTGGTTAATTGGACAAAAAATTTGACGAAACCCTAAAATTATTATTCAACAAATTCTTACTATCGCACTTTTCTGTAAGACACACCACTTCGTTGAATTTCTCATGATTAACATGCAATCAGGCCATCAGTTCAATTCTAGTTGCAGTTCAAAGATAACAAGCGTATAGTGTTGAGGATAATTACATCTGATTATTAAGGAAATACCGCATCAATAAATGTGTTCCTTATTTCTTCAAATGTATCTACAAGTCGAGAAGAACTTATTAAAATAAAAAAGAAGCGCGTACGTCATTTATCACGAATGACAAGTAATGAAACACCGTGAAGACAAATGGAACAAGTGAATACTGAACCAATGAACTATCAGTTTTTGCCAGGTTTTGATTCACTATATTAAAACTTCTTGTTACATTCAGGAACAATGAACAGATCTCAAAGGATGCATCCCAATCGAGTCTTGTATTCTTGTTTTCATTAGAAAAATTGAGCATTTGATGGAAGAACGACAAGCCTCTTGACTAAAGCATTATATAGTATTTTATAATTAAGCAACATCCCCCATATCTATCTGGAAAAATATATTTTTGAAAAATAACTACAGTATTAGCTCCTTCTGCTGTTTATCAC